AGGAACAGTATAGGGTCAGGAACACAAACATGTATTCCTGACCCTATAGTGTTAAAAACATTATCTATCTAGCCCCCTGCCCCCCTAAATATAGTATGATCTTACCTTTACTCCAGTCTGCTGCTGGCTCTGCCCCTGATCTGCCTGCTTGGCTTACATAATTATGTTTTACTGTATATATGCATGTATATTAATGTGTGTATTAGTAACATATAATTATGCCTATAATATTTACACAAGTGTTATTGAAAGCCAATCACAATGCTTTCCCATAGGAAAGCATTGGGTTGGCTGAGACTGTCAGGGAGGCAGATCAGGGGCAGAGCCAGCACAAGTCAAACACACCCCTGGGCAATCAACATCTCCTCATAGTGATGCATTGAATCAGTGCAGAAGGTGGAGACACTGAATGGTAGCGCTGCACACCGGGCAGAACTGCCCCAGGAAGCCCCTCTAGCAGCCATCTGAGAAGTGGCCAGTGGTGGTATCCCTTTGCTGGAATGTAAACACTGCATTTTTTTTTTGTAATGTAAACACTGCATTCATCCTCATCAAATGAGGAAGTATCATGAGACACCTTAATAAATTAATTACTCTAACTCGGGGATAGGCAATCTTCAGCACTCAGGATCTTGTGAATTACATCTCCTTTTTGCTTTGTCAGCATTAGGGCTCATGGAAGATGTAGTCTAGAACATTTGGAGTGCCGAAGGCGGCCTACCCTGATGTAGCTTCTTAAAAAGTGTTGAAAAAATATGAAAAGAAAGCAAATCTGTCATTCATAAATGTGAGGCAACAGGTTTCCCACCAGGAGGTAGCAAGTATACAGTATTAATGTTCACAGCCATGCACGATTTAAATCACTTGAATAGTACTTTACTCACATTATTTTCACAAAATTTTTCCTTGTCTGCAAAATGTGTTATTATCTGTTATTACATTGCATTGATTTATGACCATATGCCATTAAATATGTATTGTAGGCTTTGTATCAAGAGTGAGATGGATTTCAAGTACGGACAAGTGCTTATTATTAGCCCTCTTCACTACAATAGAAATCACGTCAAGAGGTTCAATGGAGGATTCAAAAACCAAAGCTTTATTGCAGTATTCTAGCCGACAAAGAGGGAAGGAGGGTTCTAGAACTCTTATGTCATTCACAGCAAAACAGTGATCAATGCTGGATACCACAGAACTTTGCACACCCATGCATTATACCAGGGGTCCTCAAACTCTGGCCCCCCAAATGTTGCTGAACTACAACTCCCATGATTCTTTGGCTATCTATGTAATTCAAAGAATCATGTGAGTTGTAGTTCAGCAACATCTGGGGGGCAGGAGTTTCAGGACCCCTGCATTATACAAATAGATTATTTAATTATAATTGCTATATTTGGGCATAATTTTTGTTGCAATTTTAACATGCCATATTATTAATAATGCCATTTATCATTCGAATACTTTAAAAATACCCACATGTACAGGGGCGGACTGACAGGTCGGGCAGATCGGTCATGGACCGAGGGCCCGAGTCAGTCAGGGGGCCTGGCAGCACAGCCATGCTTCTGCTGTGGAGATCAGATCAGAGATCTCCACAGTCAGAAGGAAGGTTTCAGGGGCTCATAATGACTCTAAGGGCCCCTGCAACCCATCACTCTGTAAATAAATCCTCCCCCCTCATTCAGTGAGAGACCTGGCAGAATACCTTGCTCTCACTGCCAGGTCTCCCCTCTCTCTCTCTCCCTGCTCAGTGTTCCTGTGAGGATGGGAGGCGGGGCAGGAAGTGACATCACCCCCTGCTTCCCTCTCACAGGAGCACATTTACAGCATGTATGGAGGGTGAGGAGAGGAGCCTGGCCTGCCAAGTGCTGCTTCAGGAGATGGAGTGAGAAAACATCAGATTGTACAGGTAAGCAGGCCCATACACACACTGCTCCCCCACACATACACTGCCTGCTCCCCCACACATACACTGCCCCCCCACACACACACACTGCCTGCCCCCCCACATACACTGCCCTCCCCCACATACACTGCCCCTCCCCACACATACACTGCCCCCACACATACACTGCCCCCCACACATACACTGCCCTCCCACACATACACTGCCCCCACATACACTGCCCCCCACTACACACACTGCCCCCACACATACACACTGCCCCCACATACACACTGCTCCCCATATACACACTGCTCCCCCATACACACACTGCCCCCCACACATATACCTCTACCCCACACACTGCTCCCCACACATACACACACTGCTCCCCCATATACACACACTGCCCCCCACACATACACTGCCCCCACACACACGCCCCCCACACACATACTGCCCTCCCACACACACTGCCTCCCTCATACACATACTCTCATACACACACTGCTTCCCCACACATACACTGCCCCCCACACATACACTGCCCCCACACATACACTGCCCCACCATACACCATACCACACAACCTCCCACATGATACACTGCCCCCATACACACACTGCCCCCCATACTCTGCCAAAACGCACACATACACACCCCCCCATACACACATACGTTGCCCCACACACACACATTCACTCACTACACCCCCCATATACACTGAACCTTTCACACACAGCAACCCTCACACATTGCACCACTCAGACACACCACTGCTCCTATGCCCTACTAGAGTCTCATATTCCAGCAGCCCCAGGTAAGCTGTCAAACGGTTCTTAAACGGTTTGAATACTTACTTGAAAGTTATTTTTAACATTTACTTAGTCCTTAAAGGACCACTATAGGCACCCAGACCACTTCAGCTCAATTAAGTGGTCTGGGTGCCAGGCCCCTCTCATTTTAACCCTGTGCTGAAACATAGCAGTTTCAGAGAACCTGCTATGTTTCACTGAGGGTTAATCCAGCCTCTAGTGGCTGTCTCACTGACAGCCGCTAGAGGCACTTCCGCCATTCTCACTGTGAAAATCACAGTGAGAAGACGCTGGATATCCATAGGAAAGCATTGAGTAATGCTTTTCTATGGGCGGTTTGAATGCGCGCACGGCTCTTGCTGCGCATTCGAATCTGACGTCACAGAGGGAGGAGAGTTCCCCAGCGCCGAGGAAGCCCGGCTCAGGTGAAAGGTAAGTGGCTGAAAAGGTTTTAACCCCTTCTGTCCAGCGGGAGGGGGGTCCTGAGGGTGGGGGGGACCTAATGACCCTATAGTGACAGAAAAACGAGTTTGTTTTTCTGGCACTATAGTGCTCCTTTAATATTTTGTCTTCGAAGGGCCCCGGATCTAATTTTGTCCGGGGGCCCAGAAGGCTGTCAGTCCGTCCCTGCACATGTAGATTATTTTGCCACTTTTATTATTAATTGCATTTTAGAGTTCACGCTAATATTTTAGACCCTGTGTAGAGTATTGCAAAGTAAGGGATATTGTATAAAATCTAATTTCCCTTTTTCACAACATTGAACCTATGAAGCTTTTGAGTTCAAGTTGTACCCTGATAAGTTGATTTACACTATTCCATTGAACCCACAGAGTTGTGCTTATACTATGCTGAATTCTTTGTTATATTTGTCTCTATTGATACATGACTGCTGACCCTGGCCCAACCCCCTCCCCCCCACCACCACCCGTTGCCCAATAAATACACAACACCTTCTGTATGGGTAAGGGCAACGGCCACAGCTTTATTAATCGATTATTAACAGATTATCGCCAGCGTCCACAACCTGTCAGCTGTTGGGGGATTACCAACAGACAGCTCTATCAAAATCACACACGAGTCCGGAGCAGCCTGCCCCCGCCATCAGCTCTCAGCAGGCTGCGACTCCCCAAGCCGCTTGGGCACTTCCTTCCAATCCTTTTCGCTGGCCAGGACTACCGCGAGCTGTGACAAAACAGAGAAAACAGCACACAACCAACAGCAACACCATCGTAAACATGTTTGGGTGGGCGGGCGGGAAGCTAGCAACACTACACCTCTGCCCAGGAACTGGTGAGTACCCTACCCTTTTTCCCCCTCTTAACATACCCCGAGTGCCACAATGTATCCCCTTATAAACCAGCCCCTTATCCCTGCCAGCAGTCATGTCCTCCCTTCCTTATATTTCCGGGGAGGTACTTGACTGCTGACCCTGGCCCAAACCTTCTGTATGGGTAAGGGCAACGACCACAGCTTTATTAATCGATTATTAACAGATTATCGCCAGCGTCCACAACCTGTCAGCTGTTGGGGGATTACCAATAGACAGCTCTATCAAAATCACACACGAGTCCGGAGCAGCCTGCCCCCGCCATCAGCTCTCAGCAGGCTGCGACTCCCCAAGCCGCTTGGGCACTTCCTTCCAATCCTCTTCGCTGGCCAGGACTACCGCCACCGCGGTCCCTCCCTACCTGGGAGGGACCGCGCCCCCCCCGCAGCCAGCACCTCCTCAATACTAGACTGTAGTCCCGCATTTAAGATATCCAACCCTATGAGGGAGGTTGGAATTGTCCCCTTCAAGTTCTCTGTGCCTAAGAACAAACTTACCAATAGCCACATTTAACTTGCGCCTACTACGCTCCACGCCCTTTGCATGAGGAAGTGAATGCCAACACGGCCTGGACACTATGTCCGACCAAATAAGGGTCAACTTGGGGGAGAGGGCCATACAACGCGCCAGATCGTGCCTAATTGCATGCAGGAGGTCCACTGACCTGCTGCACCCTAGGTCATTACCCCCCGCATGAATAACCAGAGTCACTGGCCCCGACACGTACCGACGAAGGGACACACATTTGGAATACATCTGCTGCCATAACATCCACCTTACCCTGGCTACATCGTAGGGAAAACCCAAATTTCTCCCATAGGGACGCTCCTCAGTTCGCCGCACTGCCCAATACACGAAGGAATGTCCCAGGATCCAAATGCAGCGAGGCCAAGGACCTACAGAGAAAATGCATTATAGTAAATGCGGTCTAACATAAGACCTGTACCGATTTGAATTTTTTATTTTTGTTGTGCATGGTTTGACAGTATGATATACGTTGCCACAACAGCAAACATAATCACATCAATAACATAGGTTTATACATATGTGGCATAGAAGTAAAAGCACGTTTTTTTAAAACATTTTTTAAACGTAGTAAGGCAATCTAGTAGTATATGTCATGCAAGTATCAACATTAGTTAATTCGTCCTTTAAGCTTTGTCGTCAATTAAGTTAAGCTAGAAACAGGCTTGAACAGTGATAACCATAAGTTTACACAACTATGCATAGACACTTTATGCTGTAAATGGTTTGGCTAGTAGGCATGGAAAACATAGGCTCTCAACATACTATAGGTACAGGAACATTTTGGTTGCTGGCTGGCAACGTCCATTTGCAGAGTTGGGTTGCGGTAGGGTCACCCTGCGTCAGTAATATATGCAAACTTTAAAAAAATGAAATAACACAACGTAACATTAGTTCAGGTATATCAAATATATCTGAGGTGTGCCCACTAGGTAAAACCTGTTCGACGGTGTCTGCAGGAGAAAGTCTCAGCATGCTAGTATGCATAGCTCGCGTGTCGGTCTTCCGGCCTGCCTGCGCCCGGCGGTGAAGGGCTGGTGCATCCCCAGTGTGGCCTATTCAGCCGATACCCCGCTTGTGTATGGGTGTTGCAGTTGATGAAGGTGTCTGGCTGGGAGCCGCTATGGTCGGCTTCATGCAGGGTGTTACAGTCCCTTGAGTGAATGATCTCTGGGGTGCTGTGTGTATAATGTGGGTGCTCCTTGGTCGGTCCCATCCCGACCGGCTGTTATAGTGGGGCTGGGCATGCTCGAATCCTCCAGCCCGGGTTGTAGCGGAGAGCACTTCCCTGCGTCCTCGGGTCCTTCTCCCACACATGGGGGGACTGTGGGCCCTCCGGAGCTTCACTCTCCTGATGCCCCTTTGGGTGTGTGGACGGTGGGTCGGATTTTGGTCCGGTATGCTCTCCTGCCCAGAAGGGGATTTGTTGCTCCGAGCCGTTAAGTGGGATCGCTGTCGGGCTTTTTGGGGCGGACGGGAGTGCTTGCTTTGCTGTGCCCTCTGTGAGTCGGCCATTTTGTGCCCTCCTCGTGGTCGCAGTGAGGGGTGAGTTACCTGATTGATCTCGGCTTGAGTGCATAGGCGCCGTGCCAGCCTGCGCCAGAATGCTGCAAAAAATTTTGTTTAGCCGTGCTGTGTAGTCAGCTGGGTTAATGAGGCTTGTTTTTGGCACCTTTGTGCTCCCTCTGTGTTGCTTGGGCGCCATCTTCGCCTCAGTCTCAGGGGCATTCCGGAGCCGTTGCGTGTCCGGCTGTAGTGTGGGGTTAGTCGCCCCCGGCGAGGACCGGGATAACCCCCACCGGTCCAGAGGGGGGGGTTGCAGGGCCCTGTCGATTGTTTGCTTGCGAGTGTGTCCTGTGTCGGGGGATCGGCCGCCTCCCCCAAGCTGCAGGTCCCGCTCCGCAGTAGGCCTCATGGTCGGTCCATTTGTGTTTATGTGGTTTCGATGCGGGTCGGGTATCATTGTGTGCCCCGTGTGATTCTGGTTTGTTCCCTGGACTCCGTTTTCTGCTAGCACCAGTAGTTCATGCAGAATTGGCGGTTTTGTGCCCTCTATTGCACGAGCTCTCAGAAAGCACGACCGGCCATCTTGGCTGTCAGGCCCCGCCCCCCGACCTGTACCGATTTGAACCCCATCTACCCAATCGCTGAATTACTGCGTCTGATAAACCACACAAACTAGTCAGGGTGGCCGCCCCTATACGAAAAGAATGAGCCGAGTACTGGCGAGGATTCATCCCGCACTCAGCCAGCGCAGCACGGAACCTGCCCGAAAACTGAAAGCGTGTGAGGGGGGGACCCATCCCTATGAACCAGAAAGGAGAGACACCCCACTGACCTAATCTGCAAATAATCCAAGAAAAGATGGACTGGACAAAACATACCACCCGTAGCACCGATACGTACCCACGAACCCCTACCTACCTGGTCCATCTTGGAACGCCTGAGGAAGACATCTACGTAATCCGAGGACCACCGGATATCTGCCAGCAAAAGCGGACCGACCACCGTGCGGTTGCGTGCAACCAATTCGCCCACCCGAAAAGCTCCAAAAAAACAGAATGCAAATGAAACCTGAAATAATGAGACTTCATAGTCCGAGAAACAGACCGCCCCGAGGGCCGACTGAGTCCGTCCCAGCAAGTCGGCTGACAACGGGCGTCGCTGGGGCCCTCCTTAGTATCCAACCCCAGATAACTCGCTGGATACCAAACCACCGTGAAACGTCTTGTCAGCCCATAAACCGACACAGAAAAGATAGAGCGGACAAAGCCTTTTCGGCCGCAGAACAGGACTTACCCTGCGCAAACATCATCTCTAGCATCGTCAGCGTCGCCTCAGAGCGCCCGGACTCCAACCCCAGCACCATGCCCTCCGAGAACGAGGACAGCCATGACCGCCAGACGGTCTGGTAAGCCTTCCAGGAAGAGGAAGATAAGCGCAGCCCTGAGATTAGATTACAGACCCTGCACTCAATGGTGTTAGACACACTGTACATTAAAAAAGAACAAGAAAAATTTAGTTATTTTGTTACCAACCAAGCATGAAACATGAAGCTGGAATCTCTTTGGAGTAAGATGTATCCTGTTTATTGAATAGCAATTCATTTATTGAGGTCTATGGTAAATTGCTATCCAGTAAGCAGCGTTAAACCCTTACCCAGCTCATGAATAAAAGAAATCCTTGTCTGATTCATTCCATTATTTCCAATGAGCTGATTTAAGGATTTCTACCCTACGGATCCACAGTCCCAGCATATTTAACCCTGCCAAGCTTTGGCGGAGGGAGTTGGTAGAAAGCTTTACCTCCAAATCAAGTGAATATCATCCTCATCTTCATCCTAAATTGTAATTGGTTATGTTGTTTACTATTTATTTTTTCACCCTCACCTGCTGCTCATTAGAAAAGGGTTTTAGGAGGGAACCTGGTAATTTGCCATAACTAGTCTAAAAAAAAAAAAGAACAAAAGGCATGTCCAAATTTAGCTGGTTCTGCAATTTAGTTTTAAAGGGACATTCCAAGCACCATAACCCTGGCACACCCACATTGTAAGTACCTTTGTTCACCCCCATTTTAAGTATGGTTTGATTATTATCAGGGCTCTGCTGGGCACTGCTCTCTGCCTCCACTACTAATATTAGAGAGCTAGAAGTTTATAAGCAGCAAATTATGGTAGATCTCCTTGGTTCATTGGCTGAGAATGATCCGTTGTTGCATTGCTTAGCCCAGCAAAAGCTAACAAAGTTCCTGCTCAGAAACTTCTATATCTCTTGCATTAGTAGTGGAGGCAAGGAGTGGCACCGGGCAGACCTAGGGTTGCCATCAGAATGGTATTTTACCTGCACAGCCGGTAATTGCGGCTTTATGCTGGTACTTTTGTGTGTGACCGGAAATAGACTGCAATACCGGAGCCGGCCAGTATGGGTCTCTGTGTGTGGAAAGAGGTAGGGATAGGAAGTTACATCTTACCACAGCAAGTTCAGCCAGCAGCTGGAATGGAGCAGAGACACAGCTAGGGATTTGAACAGGAGGAGAGACACAACTGGAGTTTGGACAGGTGGAGAGACATAGATGAGGGTTTGACAGGAGGAGAGATTCACAGATGGGGTTAGACAGAATGAGACAAAGATGGAGGTTTGGACTAGAGAAGAGACACAGATTGGGGGTTTGGACAGGAGGAGAGAGAGTCTCGTGTGAGACGAAACTCTTCTGGTTGCTAGGAAGTCGACAAAGGCAAGATATTTCACACTCAGGACACCGGACGGAGTTTGGAGTGCATGCCAACCCTGCATCCCGAATGTAATGGACCACAGCAGTGGCACTCAATGCTGAACTTTCCCTTTTATGTTGATCTAATATTTGCAAGGAACATTTCAGATCCGTAACTATATGGACAGAATTCTTCACGTGTGACCCATCTATCTAGAACCAGTTTTTTCACTGATTGATATATGGACTGTGTTTTATATATGTACAGATTGTGGCATATTTTTACTTAGATACATTGCTTAGATTTTGTACTTAAGTTTTTTTTTTTTTTACTGTTTTACCGCTGAAAATTTAGTTATTATCCCTGCTTTTTGTGTGTGTATATATATATTTTAATTCTTTATTTTTACTTATGCATAAAGTAACAACAAGAGTGCAGCGCCACAACAGCTTCTGCAAGCGGTTTCTCAGCATTTCAACATGTGGCAGTTTAACCCCTTAAGACCGGAGGGCGTACTATTACGCCCTATTTTAGGCGGCTCTAAACGCCGATGGGAGTAATAGTACGCCCTCCGTTTTTTTCTTACTTACCCGGTCGCCAGCGATCCCACGCCGGCGATTGCGGTTGGGAGGGCTCCCAGGGAGCCCCCCGCCGCACATCCGTCCTCCTGCAGCCCCCCCCCCCGGCCATGTGAGAGTGAGGTCCTTGCGAGGACCTCACAATCACATGGCCAGGATAGCTGGCTGCTGTATTGCCAGCAGGGGGACTGCCTGTAATGACAGGTAGTCCCCCTGCTGGCTGGAAATAAAATAAAATTAAATTAAAAAGTGTAAAATAAAATAAAATTATATACTTAGATTATATATATATATATATATATATATGATCTAAGTATATAAATACACATATACATACACACACATACACTGTCTAGGTGTGTTTTACTATTAATATATATATATATTAATATCAAATTACACGTAGACTGATACTGATTAAATATATCATTATTGTTATATATATATATATATTTATATCTAATATAAAAAAATGTAAATACGTTAAATAAAATAAAAAAAATAAGTAAAAATAAATAATTAAAAATATATAGATGTATGTTATTTCGTTCTAACTATATTGTGATATTAATATATATATATATATATATATTTTTTTTTATATCAAAATACACGTAGAACGAAATATATATATATCTATATACATAAATATATACGTATATATCACTATATATACCTATATATAGATAAAAAATATTTAAAAAAAATTATATATATATTTACATAATATATATACACATACATATATATATATATATATATATATATATATATATATATA